GTACAGCTGCATTTTGAAAGAGAGAGGAAGAGAAACAGACCATGTATGTCTAGATGTGTGGTTAATTAAAAAGTATATGAATAAACTAACACATAAACCAAATAAATATGTGAATACACAAGAATGGAGTAACTGCTATACATTATTGTGTTTTACACAACATGATGCTTGATCATTTAAATACGTATTTATTAAAAGCTGAGCAGCTGAACTGCGAGAGAGAGGAAGAGAAACAGACCGTGTATGTCTAGATGTGTGGTTAATACAAAAATGAATAGAGAAACAAATATTTAAAAGCCAATAAATAACGAAATACACATTATACTGTATAAAGAATTGATTTACTATAATCTGTGTTCAGGGGGAAAATGTGGAAGGGAAAGTAAATACTGTTTCTTGATTTAAAATGTGTACAGTTAACGATTGTTTACTATACTTTACTATCTATCTGCGAATTGTGTGATATCATTTTAAATAAGGAAACAATTCTTATTAAGACATGAATAAAACAAATAGAGTAATTCAAATACGTTTGTCCCTTTACTCAGCACCAAAGCACTCACACACACAAACAGAAAGTGACTGTCAAACATGTGTGTCCATTTTAAAGGTCAAACAGATCAGGTAGCCTTGCCTGAACAATAAAAGACTGCACTTACCGCAGAAATCACACAAACATCTTGACAAGCTTGCGCCAACAGGTTTATGAAGCGGCACAGCGATTTATCTGAGCACTCAGCCAAAACAGGGAAGTGAATGCTTTCTCAAAGGGTAATGTGATGGAAATGGTGGCGAGACTGAGCACAGTGTAAAGCCCCCCATCACTTCCTGTGTGCTGTAGCTTCTGTACTTTAGATTCCTTTACAGTACTGTATCTGCGTAGTTGGAACACAAAGGGCTACAGCTTTCCACAGTCTGCAATTACACCCCCTTAAAGAAAATGATGTGCCATTAGAAGTGGGAGTGTGTTTGGCAGGCAGAGAGATGGCAGATTTAGGGCGAGTTATTGATTGGAAAAGTGGGGTCTGTCACAGCACATTAGTTCTCAGGGGAGTAATCCACAGCAGGTTGCTGTGAGAAGCATCTGCTGCTGGAGAGAAGTAATTAAAAACAGGATGTTGAGGCAGTTGCCATATAAACAGGAAATAAGACGGTGGTAATAGACACTTCACGCTGATGCTGTGAGATGGTTTTACACCACGTCGACTTAATGGATGCAAAGCGCATACCTCAGGTGAAAAGCTCAAGGTCAGTCTGGACCTGGATTGAATACAGATTCATGTGTGTGATTAATGTGTGTGTGAGCTGGTAACAACTATGAATTAGGACATTTGGCTCAAAGAACGTTGTGCAATGAAAACTTCTTCCCCTTATCTCCTAACTGGTACTTTCCATTCTTGTATGAAACAAAGAGTAAATCACACAATCCCACGATTTAGATCATTTCCTCCTTCGTTTCATTTGACTGCCCTACGCTTTCCTTCCACAAAAGGTTATATCGATTTGTCACACATTTTATTTGAATGATGCAGTTTGTTGCTAAACTTCTTTCGACATCCACTACATTATTTTTGATAATATGAAATCTGCTCATTCAGCCTAATTCCTATTCGCTGGAAATAATGATCTATCGGCTTGTCCTCTCGATGTGTCTTAACAATCTCATAGCAGATGGTACTTTGTGTTCATTGCAATATGTTGTTATGACAACAGTCTGTGTGATGTTTTCCTCTCTTTGATATTTGTCATCTGGTTGCCTCTGTAAACCGTACATTATAAATCATTGGGCTTTATTACTCACCTTTTTCACAGTACATACATTAATACGTGCATTTGTCTTACAGCAATCTATCTTCACTTTTGTTGTACTTCCCCTAAATCATTTTATTACTCTGCCATTCTTGTTTATCAAACAAACAAAGATGAACCCTTGTTACACCTGTCAATATTTTGATTTGGTATAAGGTGCCTGTGAGTTCCTGTTCAACTTCCCTAGCTGTCACTGCTTTACCCTGATTCACACTGTCCTCTAGAGGCCAACACAAATCACTACACAATTGTCAGACTTCAGGGTTTTACGTGTCTGTGCCTCATCATTGATTGTGTCTAAAAATAATCTGTTTTTCACGCAACTAAAATAAACTTCTATAATATAACGTATTAGATAATATTTCAATTGTAGCAATCATCCAGAAGGGGATTTAGCAGAATCCAAATTCCTACTTGACATTTAAAAATCACTTTTCTGTTTTATAGTCTGAAATATTTAAATGTTATCCTATCACATTTTTGTTTTCCTGTTACAGTATGTCTCCTTTTCAACAACAACACCAATCTTGTCTTTTTCTATCTGTCCATGACTGAGTTGCTAAGGGAAGTTTAAGACTCTTTAAGAAAAAATTTCAAAAGATAACAAAATACTTTTCCTTCAAGAATAGTATGTGTGTGATATAGCATTTCTACAAAAAATGTTTAAGTAAGAAATACTTCTACTTCTTCTTCCTCAAAATTGACTGTAAATATTGTTAATGTGGGGGAAACTTCTGTGTAGCAATGCAGTGGAGTCACCGACTCAGGGAGGAGACACGGGGAGAGCTGGAGCTTTGATGTCAAACACTGATGGTTTATTTAGGAGCTTCGGCCGGAGGATTCACAAAACAAGTCCAAGAGTCAGAGGTTCTGACTTCACGGTAGAGTTGCCACGTCAATTCTGAAGAACTCTACCCCAGACCCGTGTATTTAGCTAGTTTAGAGAGAATAATCAACATGCTGCATAACAAGATAGAATGATAACACCTCTATCAGCTGACGCCAGCAGGCAGGAACAGGGAGACAAAACACTGAGAGCACAGCAGCCAAGGTTACAGGTGCGTGTGCTCAGTCAGGACAGAATGAACTGATAAACTGGGTCAAAGTTGGAAAATATTTCCCCAACAGTTAATAAAAAAAATGGACACAAGACATCTCCTATTTCCCTGAAAAGTCAATTCTCAATATACTGTATGTTCGCTGAAAGCTAGTTTCACACATCACATTTACATAAGATACATAATCAACTATTAAAGCATCTTAATGTATTTTTTAAGGTGAGCAGAGACATTTTCCCTGCCGTCAAACTGACAGAAGTACAAATCTGAAAAAGTGAATTTTAAGGGAGAAAGGACTTTACTAAGTCAAAATAAATGCAGAGTGGTATCAAAACTTCACTTCACAATCTTTACCTGATTTTCTGGCGATGTTTCAGATCTTTAGATACATTTAATTGTGTAACTGTAAATGATCTGATGCTTCCAGCCCATCCCTTTAATCCCCGAAAGAATTCAGGCGATAGAAGAAAAGGGAGCCATGAAGCAGATGGCAATTATATGTGTGAAAAACAGTGTTCATTGCTAAACAAGTGGATAGACTATCAGCAAGGGACACATTTCTGTAAAGTAAAATGAAGAAATGTATATTAAAGCCTATATTTTTGTTTAGCTGCTCCTGGAATTGAGAACTACATTTGAGTAAAAACCCTCTTGTCATGACATTGTTATGAAAGAAAATCGACATTAGGATGAATTATTTAAATTTCAACTTTTACAAACACGAAATACTGTATTCTATTTAGTTCATTATAAACACATTTGGATCAGTGATTTTGTTGGAGCCTTGGCAGTGACTGATGCGACTGATGCAGTTGTACCGTCAACATGATGAAATGCACTTTTCTCCAGTGCTCCTTGTTTTGTCACCTGTGACTTGTTTCCGTGCCATCTGCTGTCGAGGCCTTCCGAAAGCACCACACGTGATCACACATGAAGACATGAAGGTTGTGATGAATACAGTTTCTATTTTGAATTGAGTGTGATCATCCACGAAAGTAGTCTTTAAAATTAAATAGCTCAGACTAACCTCTTTCAAAGTACTAATTTAACATACAAAGTATTAAAAGCATCAATATAATTCAACCTTATAGAACTATATAATCTATTCAGGCACAATCTAAGAATAATAACTATATGCACCCACATCTAAAGACAGAGGGAAACAAATATGAATCAGAAAGTAGATAGAAACACTTACACATACTGTATCTCTAAGTGTTATACAGTACATTGACACAACTTATTAAGCACCCTATAAACTGTTGGTACTGTAATTACGCTGCTATGCTACACCAACACGCTTTTTCTGCATGAATTGTATTCATACTCTTATTCATTGGATGACTGAAGTGCATTATTTATATCTCATGATACACTTCAATAACAGTACAGGAAGCAGTGTAGCCTTTGCGTAATGTTTAAGTAATGTAGTTGGGGTGTTGAAACAACTTGTAACACATAATTTGTACTTCAATAAAACCATTACCACATACTGCTGTCAACCACAAACCAACTGTTTTAGTATCCTAACCTGACCATAGATGTGTGCCATCAACATGGTCTACCGCCTATACCTTAACAGCAGATTGTCCATACTATAGTTGCCCAGTTGTATTGAAGAGAGAAATAAGCAATTGTTGGCAGAAACATCCTATCTCAGGATGTCTTTGGACAATTACTTTGTTTCTACTGCTTATAGGCTTTGCATAGCATAGTAGGTTTCAAACAAGAGTTTGTATGACTTAAAGTTAGACATATAAGTTATCTTTTTAACTCACAGCTGCCATGTTACACAAATGTTAATAGAGTATTGGTGGCATCTACATGAATGACAGTAGAGTTGAGATTAAATTAAGTTCTCCAAAATGGATGCTTGAGGAACTCCCTTCACAACCAAACCTAGGTTAACCCGTCTGATCTCATGACATGACCTTTTCAGTGAATTATGGGAACATTCAATGTTTCACTAGTAGCATGTTGATTTGGTCTTCTTAAGCAATGATATGACTAAAACATATTTCATCCTATACACGTAAGACAGGAGTTAGATCAGATCAAACAAAGACAAGCAGGTTCCTTCTCAACAAAGTGCAGCTGATTGTAAACAATGCTGGATTGAGAATACAGAAAAAATGGCTTTGCAAATGTTTAATGAGGAATGAAATGCACTCAAAACATTTGTTAGACCTAAATGAAACACACATTGCAGGGAATACACTGGAAGTAAACACATCTTCTGTAGAAGCAAAACCTCACAGGGCCCCTTTGAATTAAATGACAATATATACTACAAACACTTTAACCACAAGAACAACTATGGTCATGTTAAAACTGAAACATATGTGGTGCTTTTCAAACCAATACATGTATATTCCTTTGCAAGACAATTGCACAGTGTATCGTTTCCTGAGACATTACAACAGTTTGCAGAAATGAAGCTTGAGGCAAATAACCTGAGATTTTGATTCATTTGGGAATGAAAACTACTTCTGCCTTTACATCTCAGTTCATTAAAGTAACACAATGAGGATGTGATCAGACGTGAGGTCACTTTCCGGTTGCAAATATTACTTTCTTTTCTTTCAAAAAGTAATTTTCAGATGAGTATCCTGCTTTACTCTTCACATACTGTACATGAGGCTAGCTTTGACAACATTTTTCAGTCAATAGACATTTGAATAAGGCTATGACTGTATCGGATCGACTGTCCACTTCCAACATGTTCTTCCTCATGAACGCCCAGTCTACGGGCAGGAGAGAAGCATGCTTAATTAAATATTTCCTTAGCTGCAGTTTGTTATCTTTGCTTTTCGGATAAATTCACAAATACAGGAAGTGATGAATTTCTGTTCAAAAAATGTTGATTCATTTGGTCCATGTTCCTTTATAAACCTTTTCTGATGGACACAAGTCTCATCCAAAAGAGCTTTGTTTTGTATGGTTCCAGGTGCTAAGTATAGCTGCTTGGAGTCCCTGAAGGCAGTCCATTTCAATGTTCAAACTCTATTAGACTGGTTCGGATTAAAGCAGACCCATGCGTAAACAGTCCTTTCATCTTGAGTTACTGGTGCCAGTTTTCTCATTTACTCTTCCTGGCGGAATCTCCTCTCTGTTAGTCTTTCACTGGTTGAACCTACTATAGAGCTGTTGAGTGGGATCTTGTTGCCCTCAACAATGTCCTTGGAGGAGCCTTCAGGCGACGTCCTCACTGCACTGGAGAAGGACATGCTGACCTGAAGCCTCAGCAGCTTACGAAGTTTCCTCTTGTAGCCCTTACAGGCAAAGAAGTAGATAAACGGATCCAAACAGGAGTTGAGGTTCATCAGACACACAGTTATGTGCAGCGATATCTGAAAGGCTGTGAGATCGGCGCAATCAGGGCTAGACACTAATTTGCGGATCATGTACTGTAGGATGTCGATGTGGTAGGGGCTGTAACAAATAATAAACACTACGGAAACGCAGCAGATCACACCAATGGCCTTTTGGCTCCGGCCAGACTTTCCCGTCAAATGGTTGGACTTGGCTGAAAAGTGGAGTTTGGAGCACAACACAGAGTAACATATGAGAATGGTCGACACAGGCAGGACAAAACCAAGGAAGACAGCACCAAGCAGGATAGTTGCGATGTGGTCGACCTTCTCAAAGTTGGGGTATTCCATACAGGTGATGAAGCCTTCAGGTTCTTTGTTGGTCATGGGCATGCCCACCAGGGGGAGGGTCTGTGCCAGGACCAGCAGCCACACCCCAACACAGATGTAGCGCACATTACTGACCTTCCTGAGTCGTGCGAAACGCAGAGGCAGGACCACAGCGATAAACCGGTCCACACTGAGACAGGTCATGAAGTTGACCCCGGCGTAGGTGTTGATGTAGAAGATGATTCCGGAGATCTTGCACAGCACCTCGCCCAAAGGCCAGTGGAAGCCCATGGCGTAGTAGACCATCCTCAAAGGCAGAGAGAGGGTAAAGAGGATGTCCGAGACGACCAGGTTGAGGGAGTACAGGGTGGTGGAGTTAATCTTCTTCAAATTGGGACGGATGACATGCAGGGCGAGGCAGTTACCAAGCAGCCCCACGACAAACACAATGAAATAGAAAAGTGGCATGAGGACCCTGGCGTAGTCCCGGTGGGCGTAGAGGGTGTTGCAGGTCGTTTTATTAGAGTCATTGTTGGTGGTTGAGACCGTAAATATCACCGGGGCAGCTGTAGAACCCATCTTGATATTTAAGGAACCAGTAACTGCAAACAGAGAAATTCAAAATGTTAAGACAGGTTTTTATTTCCCTTTCTTTTCCTATTTTACAGTAAATGTGTATTAAGAGGAAACAAAGTCAGAAGTGAAAAAGCAATGATACACTGAGTATATGCCTTGGTTGAAATTAAACTCTTGCTTAATAAAACAATAGCAAGACTTTCCTTTCAAAAGGGATGAAACATATAATACTTCATATTAATTACAGTAGTTTTCTTTAAACTTGGCACTTTTTGGCAGTTTAATTAGAGAAAATGTAAAAGAAAAACATAATCTGTAAATGTCTGCCTCTAATAATAAATATCTGTTTTTTTATGGAATTTTGACTTCATCATATATTAAGGCTTTAATGAAGAAATAATGACTACACGGATAAAATGACTTCCTTTTACCATTATATAACGGTTTAGGTTGCAAATAGTTTCATTGAACTTCTTTGAGTTTCCTGTGAAATAGAAATGTTTACTTTCTGCGGTGTGTAATGCCACCTTGTGGTTATTTTGGAGCAAAGCCCAGCAGACACCACACTTCACTTTTGCCTCAGTTTTACTCACCATGAATTTGCACAATCAAGCCTTCACATTTCTTAAAACAAAAGTTCAAAGTTCAAATAAGACATAGTCTGTTCTAGTTTTGATGATCAACTGATCAACTTTTTTTAAACGTATTGATGAATTTAGCAATGATTGGGCAATATGTTTGCGGTTTAACATACTATAGGAAGACAGAGCATGAAAGAGAACATTCTGGATACATTTCCATCCTGTTTACGCATGAAGAAGGCAAGAAAGGGTTCAGATAAACAGTAACTGTCCTTGTCTTACAAATTAGCCCATTCAGCCAGTCATGCGTGTAATTGACTCACAGGACATAGCTGGGGGTTTGTCATGCCTTGTGTAGCTAAAAGTGACATGAAGGAAGTCTGGGAACAATACCACAACTTAACTGTGATTAGTGAATACAGCTGCAGCACTCGCACTTACACTCCAAAAACACAAAAACAAAAAAGGGTGTTGAAAGATGGGCTTGTCTATGAGGAAGTCAGCTCCCCAGGGTGCTCTGCCTGAGAATGGAAGGCATTTTGGAAAGTCATATTGTTGGAGCCAAAATGATAACCCGTTCAGACTGTGGCTATCTGCTCGAGCACATGGTGCGATACACTCGTTTCCTGGCTTATTAACTCAAGTCAAGGGGTATTGCGGAAAAAAAGACATTTTTGCAAAACGCCTTTCATATCAAATTGATCTAAGTTTTGAAGTTTGGCAAATCAATCAGTGTTTTATGTCAAGAATATACTTTTTTACACCTGAACTTTTGTGAATGTGGTTCACTTCTAACTGTTGGTGTTGTGACTGTGTTTGATTGCGGTATTTTGAACAGTAAATGTGCCTCATAGAAGACCACAGTTTCTCATAATTCAATATTTATTATATTTAAATGATAGAGGACATAGTTTATACATTGATTTGTAATTAGATTTAAGACTTTTGCATATGTTTTTGTGGAATTACACCACATTTTCAACAACATCAATTACAAGCTAAACTGCAAACTGATACAATTATGTGTGTAAATTACACACATTTTGAATGTTAGTTTAAGTTACCATGAATGATTCAACTTAACCCTAAAGAAAGTTTGAAAAAGTAAACTTACCTCACAGATTGAATATATTTCACGGCAGGTATGATGAAGTTACATTGATCCAGAAGACACCCAATAATTATAAGGACTGTCCTGACAACACTACAACCGCTCTGTCCTAAATGAGAGCAGCATGACACACAGAAATCAAGATCCGTATCTGCTGCCAGTAACCATAGTGACAAAATATCCTGTTGTAGCTCTCTCTCTCTCTCTCGCTCTCTCTCTCTCTCTCTCTCTCTCTCTCTCTCTCTCTCTCTCTCTCTCTCTCTCTCGCTCTCTCTCTCTCTCTCTCTCTCTCTCTCTCTCTCTCTCTCTCTCTCTCTCTCTCTCTCTGTGTATCTCTCTCTCTCTGCCAATGTGTGTGTGCCTCTCTTACTTTTGCAAAACCTTTTCTCAGTACCCACTTTTGAAACAACAACAGTGTGCTCTCAAAATGACATGTGACTATAAACATCCTTAAGGACAGAAACCATTGGTCGATGTGATTGCTCTTATATCCCATAATCGAAGTCGTTTAAAATTGCCAGTTTTTAATGTTTTATAATAGTTTCTTTTATTTTCATATTGACTGGATAATGTGCCATTTCATTTGTGTTTTACCACCGCTGTATTCGTCTGACTGTTTTGTTTTGTGTTCATGTGTTGTAACTCTCTCTCTCTCTCTCTCTCTCTCTCTCTCTCTCTCTCTCTCTCTCTCTCTCTCTCTCTCTCTCTCTGCCAATGTGTGTGTGCCTCTCTTACTTTTGCAAAACCTCTTCCCAGTACACACTTTGGAAACAACAACAGTGTGCTCTCAAAATGACATGTGACACTACAATGAGGTGTTTTTAGTTTCATATTGGTCTTTGTGATTGATTAAGCTGTGGAGTTTGTGCCATCTGTGGCCTATTTTGTGAAAGTACCCATCATCCCATCTGTTAATCGCTTGGAGGATGTGGCTTCTCAAATCTGATCGTCAGAATTGTTTTTGTAAGACACTTTGCTTTCTTGATAGAAAGAGCAATTCTCTGATAACATTTCAAATGTAGAATCTTTCTCACGTAAATGTGTGACAGCGAAATGAAGAACTTCCTCTTATCTCTAGACGCACTTTTCTTTGTTTTGATGTTGTTGAGCTCAGAATGACTTTCAGAAAAGAAGACCTACGACTCATATTGTGTAAAATAATAGTTTCTTTTGAAAATTGTAAAATAATTGAAGAAATGCTTTCAAGTAAAAGTGTCATGTATCAGGACTGATTGCAGGTGTGAGGAGATCTTCCTGCTCAGAATCACCAGGGACTTCCTGTGGTGAAAGCACATCGATGCCTCAGTCAAAAAGCCTCAACAAACAAGCAAATACTTTTGTAGGAGGAGGTGTAGGAGTTAGAGCACACTTTCGAAACACAAATATGCTTTTGAGTGAGAGATCATAGACCATTTCAAATGTTAGATGCGGTCAAGCTGAAAAGAAGTGAAGAGAATAAGCAATTTATAAGAAAATATGTTATTTAGTGTAACTCTGCCCCAAAAGAAGCCTAAGCGCTCACTTGAATCACATTTTTTAACTGAAATCCTGTGGTTTCACATCTTTGAATTACACCCGCCCTTCTGTGTACCGCTCTCTACCATGGCACAGCTTTTTTATTCAACCCCAGATTTGCTCTATTAAGTCACATGCCTTTTGCTTTGTACTTTATATCACCTGCACAGAAAAAGTACTACAGTGCAAAACACAAAAAAGCTAAACTAGTTTTGGTTTGACTTCTATATGGGGTATGTAAATAATTAAGCTCATAGTTAAATGCCGCTGGATCTAAATACAATAGCCTATATCCAGAGATGTTTTACTTAATTAAAAGTAGAAGTGCCAGAGTGTAGGTAGACTATGTTAAAAATAAAAGTTGTAAAATAATTGAAGACAGGCTTTCAACCAAGAAGTCATACAAAGTCCTACAATCAAATGTTACTCAAGTAAAAGTACAAAAGTATTAGCATCAAAATATACTTTAAGTCCCAAAAGTAAAATGACTCATTATTCGGATTGGCCCATTTCAGAATAATGTATTATATATTGACTATAAATATTGACTCGTTAGTGTGTTTATCAAAGCTGGTAAAGGTGCAGCTAGTTTTCATTTATTTGTATACTTAAGGGTAGCTTGTTAATTTACTCCAGGTGTAACTAAAATCTAATTTAAGTGATGTTTATATTTCACATCATTAATCCAAATCTGAAAGCTATTAAATGATGTAGTGGAGTAACAGTACACAAGCTACCTCTGAATTGTAGTGGAGTAGAAGATTAAAAAAGTTGAAATACTCAAGTAAGTCCCTTAAAGGTGTACTTAAGTACAGTACTTGAGTAAATCTACTTAGTGACTTTACACTACTGCCCATCTACAAGAATCATATTCAGTTTGTATTGACCACAACCTTCCTTTGTTCAAAACAAGTCCGGCGGCGAGGCAGAGGAAGCAGTTAAACTTCCTCATGGCCCAGCCTTGTGGGTCTGACTCACCGGGCATCAGACGGCCGTGCACACCCGTCACTGACAGACAACGCACACCATGCTCCGCCGTGGCTATTCATAGAGAACAATGGAACTGAATCCCAGAAGAAAAGCCACTTTTACAGTGGTTTTTTACAAGTTAACTGTTTATTTATTGGGACCTTACTTTCAAATGGAGACATGAAGCAATGATTTGGGCCATGATTAAATGCAGAAAAACATAGTTCAGAAAAGGTCAGACCGGAATTTGATGAGAATCAGTGTTGTGAACATCCTGCGCACAATTAAGGACGTTTTCAGACAGAAACTTCTAAAAGGATTTCCTATGAAGCTGTATCTGTCGAAATAAACCGTTATCTCTCATGGATGCTCCAATGTATATGTTGCTCTGCAGGAGTTTATACAACAGGAGAAGGATGTCATGTTATCGTTAAAGCATTCCCCTATCGTAATGTTTCTTTTTTCTGTGTGTTAACAGATTATTTTATATAATGTTACAGCCTTTACCATGTTAGATCGCTGTGTGATACTGTTTGGCCAGAGTGAATACATCTCAGAAATGCCTTTGTTCTGTGCTATCAAGATAACAATATGTGTATTTAACAGCTAACAATCTAAATTGAAGACTCCACACCTAAAAAGATTATGAGTAATAGTACCCTTTAATGTTTTAAAATAGCACATGTCTAACATGTTTAAAGACTACTGTGTTCACACTGCCCCATTGCTTGTATACATGGGGCACACTTGCATTCATTCTGATGATGTTGAAGTGTGTATACGGTGTGATAGAACGCCTCTCCGCTGTTGTTCAACACGTGGTTGAGATGTGATTGCAACATTTTTCTACAGGAAACTGCTGTTGCTGTTCTTTTTCATCAGAAACAAAATAATTACTTGGCCAACTGATGACATTTCACATCACTAGTGTGATATTTTATTCATAATATTTAAATGTACCAGTCAATGAATCCTAAAACATATATTTGTTGGTTGTTTTCAACCCTCAAAGTTAGTTACATCTTTAACACATTTACTGGAGTGCTTCTGCATCTAATTTGAGTAAATAACCTTTGTTTATATAATACTATTTGTATTTGACTGTGTTTTCACTTCTGCAACAAAGGTTGTTCAACATTTTGACCGATGCATGTGGCAATGATAAAGCATGTGCATGCAACATATAGAAAGGTCAAAGTTAGTAGGATAGTGACACATTTTGTGGTGTTGGCTCTACTACTCTACTTTGTTTTGACCACCCAAAACACCTTCAAAAGTATTTAAAATGTAGAGTACATTAGCCCTATGGACACAGTTTAATAGGAAATCAAATGTGCTGTAGTACAGTTCTAAAAACGCTGTTAAAAACGTTTTTATCTGAATTATAGGCGTCATGTGACTGCAGTGACCTTTCCACTGTGGATCAGTTACAAACAGAGCCTGTTACAGCAGAGGACGTGTTGTAATGCTCATGTTGTGGCTTTATACTTTGCGTACTCAAGAGGCCATTACTTCTGCTGTGCCACAAGAACTTGTTCAAAACAGTTTATCAAATCAAAAATGTCTTTGAAAATTCAGACAAACTACAATTTTGAAGAGCATATTTTTTTGTGTTGATGAAAAATACCACATGTCCAAAATTGTCCACACAACACAAAACTGTTAAAGTTATTTTCTAAAACAAGGCCCTTCTTCTTGGACTAATGCTGCTCTCTTCTGGCAGGGAAAGAGTACTGCAGATGTTGAGGTTCAGCTTATAAACAGTGGGTTTAAGGAGCAGTGGGTCTAGGTCAAAGGTTTATACTTGTCCTCTGAGTACTGTGGATTTAATTCAGTAAATCACACCAATGTATTTACTACTCTTTACATTGTTGCAGACATTTTTTTAATCCTAATTGACGTTATTTGACTGCTACCCGGCTTCAAATGCAGTTAAAAACATTACATTCAAACAGATTCTATAGAATACAAGTCTAAGGTTATCATCTGAAATAAAATGTGACTATAAATCAAAACTACAGCACCAAACAAATAGCAAAACAGAATCACTTTTCTTAGATGTCTTACTTTCAAGCAGGTTTACTATATGATGGGGTAGGGTGTGTGGTCCATTTGAACATCTTTAATGTGAAATATTGCACTGTCCCAAATTAAAAACATTATTCCTACCTTTCTGATTTGGCGATCAGGTGTGAATCAGGTTTAAGTACCATATGAATGTGATACATATATCCAGTAATACTGAGTGTAGAGCAATGAATGAAGTAGTTTGTAAATCATTTGCAAAACATTTTTTGAATCACAGATAATATCTTGAACTGAAGGTTAGTGTGAAGTTGTGAAAACCCAACCCTAAGTCAAACCTTGTACGATTGCTTCTGCTTTTTAGCTCTTTATCTATCCATAAAAAACAAAACAAAAGTGGTAATGGAAACTACAGTATGACGTTTTAATCACTGCTAATGTCTGGCTTAGTTCCTCCTGATTCATTACAGTGTTTCTGGAATATGAAATACAACAACAACAAAAAACTGCTCTATCCTATACGTTGACATTAACAACATGAAATGAGTAAATGCAATACAAGAGGGGTCACTTTCTCCCAGTGGTGACACCTTTCTTTTCTAATGCACATTTGATCTCTTACTGACTTAATATCTGACTTTCAGAGACCCCTAATGAATGTTTTGTATATCTTGTTGTGTTTTACAACAATAATGAAACACATCAGGAATCGTTCAAACTAGTTGAACAATCCCTCATGAGGATACTTGTGCACATTGCTATCTATGCAAAACCATATGGCAGCTTTTCCAAAAACACAGGAAATGTTAAAGGTTATATTTAAATACGGCACTGCACTCTAAACAGGCAGCGTGCACCTGCTCAAATTTGTAAGACACACACACACACACACACACAGTTTGTGGGACCCAGCTGTAATGTAAAGGGGAGTGGGAGTCATGTGAGGGGGAGCAGGAAAGGTGGGTGAGGAAGTGGTGAAAAGTTTATCTACGCACTCCCACACAAAACTCAGATGTGGGTATGTGGGATAAAGAGAGATATGTGACATGTTCTCATTTTGGCCTAACCAAAATTCTTGCATATCATATACTATGGATAATATGTGAAACACACTTTGATCGCACACATCACAGTTTCACAATTTTTATCATTACAACCAATCACACACACTACTAGATTATATTGTTTTTTTATTTTTTTTGCCACATGACTTGGTCCATTTCTCCCTACATGAAGGAAGTGAGAGTTTCCGTTGTGCTATATTAATCACCACAAAAGGTTTTCTGCAGAGATGAGTAAAAGGCATAGCTTATTTGTCTAGTTTACGACATTTCTTTCACGCTGTACACATACATAATCAGAAAAAGTACACAACAAATATATTTTTACATTACTAATACTGAAGGGCACACACATATTAAGAAGAAAGGCAATGATAAACATGAGATATCATCATGTTATAAAAATAATATGTATAAAGAACACATAATTTAATGCAGTTGTCTCAAATATACATGACTGTGATCAACCCTTTAACAATTCAGAAGGGTTAACAAGTATTTGTTTTCCCTGCAAACTGTATTTCTTCTGCATTATATCGCACCTTTACTCCACATGCACAATTGCCACAATAACCCACATAAAGACTTCTTAGTCAAAGTGAGAGACTAAAATAGGCTAAACTAGGTCTTCTCTGTGGCTCTGGTTGTATGCCTCCTGTGGTTTCTCTCAGGTGTTACTACTGCTGTTCTCAGCTGTCATTTTGGTGGAGGCACCGGAAGTATACAGATAGTCCTTAAACAGGCTTAGCACTCGCTTCTTGTAGGTCTTAATGGCAAAGAAGTAGATGATTGGGTCCAAACAGCAGTTGAAGTTCATGAGCGAAACTGTGATCTGCAGGGAGAAGATGGATTATGAAAAGGAACATTGATATTTGAATTCAAACAAACTAACAACCACAGTTCCTACCTGTAAGGACACCTTAAAGGCCCTCAGCTCCTCGCAGGTCGCCTGGTGGTGTATCTTTCGAGACATGAACTGCATAACGTTGAGGTGGTAAGGGCTGAAGCATATGATGAAGGTGAGGAGGATGAGGAGGATAATGGTGTTGGCCCTGTGATTCCTCTTCGATCGACTGGTTACAGAGTTGTGCTTTGCTGCAGCTCGTAGCTTCAGGTTGATCTTAGCGTAGCAGGCCATGATGATGATGAGGGGACAGCAGAAGGAGATGGTGCAGGCCAGGATCAGGAGGTACGGGGTGAAGCGGGAGCCCTCGAAGTTGAAGTACTCCATACAGGTTTGTCTTCCTTGGTGCTCACGAAGCATACTGCGGAACATCAGAGGAGCTACCTCCAGGAACACCAGAGCCCAGACCAGACAGGAGACCCTGCGAACAACCTTCACACTCCGCAGACACGGCAGCCGCTGGGGGTGCACCATGGCCAGGTATCGATCCAGACTGATGCAGGTCATGAAGCCAATACCTGGTGGAAAAACAATGGATGTAAAATACAGTTTAACACATGCTGACAGAGCGGCAAAACAAAGGAACACTTTTGCAGATTACAAACAAGGGTGGAGATCATGTATTTGGGTCAAATAATGTATTTTATTTTATTTACTTGCGCTATTATCTGTTGTATTGTGTTGCACTGTTGGAGGAGTCTGTGAGCTTGTCATAACTACACTGTAGATATGCACAAATGACAATAAAAGCCTTGAATCTTGAATCTTGGAATGGGTCACTCACTCACATTTTGATACTTTTAGTCAACAATATCTTTATACTTCATATTCTTGGAGTGTATGAGGGTTGGAAACCAGCATAATTGGCCTCTTGAGCTCTGACTGTTTTCTTGAAAATACACATTTTTCACACAGAAAGTTTATAATAGAATAATAAAGTTATCTGAACCTGAACATAATGTTATGGTTGCATACATGTAGACATATGTAAAATCATACTAATGTATATAGTGGTGTATTGTCAACAGAAGCACTAATATTACCTGCATACGTATTTGCGAAGAAGAGTAGTGTGGTCAGTCTGCAGAGAAGGTCACCGAAGGGCCAGTCAAAATGGCGGATGTAGTAAATAATTCTACCGGGCAGCGCCAGTGTGAACAGGGTGTCAGATAGTGCAAGGTTGACCAGATAGATTGACGTAGAATTAAACTTCTGCTTCCTCTGGCAGATCACGTAGAGAACCAAGCTGTTGCCACACGCACTGACAATGAAAACCACAGAGTAGAAAATAGGGAAGAGGACCACAGCAGCTCTCTGGTAGATGAAAACATCGCAGCTGCTCTCGTTTGGAGAGTTTTCTGCCGAGTTCAGGGTGATATTTCCAACTGCCATCTTACCTGTCATTTTGAGAAAAGTGAATAAAAAAATAAAAAAGAATAAATTATTATAGGCCGAAAAACAAGATGCATTAGCAGAGGAAAACAATACCACTGAGCTATAGATGAAAATCAGCATTGTATACTTACAACAAGAGATAGGGTTCCAAACTTGTGCTGTTTTTACTAAGTGTTGTGGTTGTGAATTGAGCTTCAAGACTTTATATACCTTTTGAAAATGTTCAATGCCGTGTTCAAATCCCACCTCTTCTTTCTGACATCACATGTCTTTATAAAAAAAGTTGCTCATCCTGAACCCCAGCAGTAAGTTGATGCACTGCATAGTAGACTAGCTGTTCATTGATAAATATACCCTTCAGTTGTTAAAGCATGTAGCACTGCAGGTTAACTAAATAAATATAATATAATATCAGAAAATGCAGTTTGCATACAGTATCTCAAAGAACAGTATGTATTCTTGTGTCTTCCTATGCATGTCTTCATGCCATTTTATTGTTTTCATTATTTATTCTTAACAATTTAACACATTAGATTTTAGTATCAAATAGGGCTGAACGATATACCGTGTCATGGCGATAACCGCGATATGCGCATGCGCGATATTCACACCGCAGGGATGTGCAGTTTTATTCATTTAAAAAAAAAATGCTCTCGCACTTTAGCACAGAATTCAAAATAAAGATACCCTTATTACTTATCAAAACTGCACACAATTTATCCGATTAAAGCTGAGACTCCAAAGATTATTTAAGTATAGTATCTAAGTGATCCAATCTCGCGACAGGGGAAGCAAACACAGACATCACAACATGTACCTTTTACTGGAGATTGTCTCACCGTAGCTGTCAATCTGATCAAAAGACGTGTTCAATAGCATTAAAACGAGAAAAAACGTGGCTGAATTGGTTGATCCATAGGTCAATACTCATATTGCCCGAGGCACGGGCCGAGGAGGTGGAGTTGCAGCAATCTTTGACTCAAGTTTACTTATCAATACTAAACCAAAATTAAATTATACCTCCTTTGAAAGCCTCATTTTTAGTCTTACGCATCCAACCTGGAAAACTTTGCAGCCAATCTTATTTGTTACAGTGTACCGTGCATCAGGTTCTTATTCAGAATTATTATCAGAATTCTCTGAGTTTTTATCAACTTTGGTTACTTAAAACAGATAAAGTAATTATCTTAGGTGACTTTAATATTCATGTTGACGATGATAAAAATAGCCTTACTGTTACTATTAGATTCTGTTGGTTTCTGTCAGAGTGTAAATAAATCAACCCACTGCTATAATCACACTCTCGACCTTGTTCTGACTTATGGTATTGAAATTGAGCAACTATTAGTCGAACCGCATAATCCTGCTTTATCCGACCATTTCTTATTAACTTTTGAAGTACTGTTACTAGACTACAAAGCATTAGTCAAAAGGTCCTGCAGCAGAAACCTATCTGTTAGTGCTATAGCCAAATTTAAGGAAGAGATTCCACCAATACTTAACTCGATAGCATGTCTGCATGTAAGGGAGGAAACTTATACAAAATGTACACCACCCCAAATTGATCATGTTGTTGATAGTGCTACAGATGCGCTGCGAATAAAATTAGACTCTGTTGCTCCTTTGAAAAAGAAGAAAATAAAACAACATAGATTAGCTCCATGGCATAATGCTGAAACCCGCAAAATAAAGCAAAAGTCGAGACAACTTGAAAGGATATGGCGTTCCACTAAACTTGAAGAATCTCGTTTAATTTGGCATATTACTCTCAATGAATATAAGAAAGCACTGCGTAAAGCGAGAGCAGCCTACTACTCTTCATTAATAGATGAGAATAAGAATAATGCAAGATTTCTTTTCAGCACTGTAGCCAGGCTGACAGAAAGCCACAGCTCGATTGAGCCTTCTATTCCCATAGCACTCAGTAGTAATGATTTTATGTGCTTTTTTAATGATAAAATTGTTACTCTTAGAAAAAAATTAATGACCTCTTGCCTTTGACCAGTATAGTGTTATCAACAGCTCCCGGAAACGTAAGTTCTAATATTACACTAGATAGTAAACTAGAATGCTTTTCAGCCATTAACCTTGAACAATTAAATTAAATGATTCTCTCTTCTAAACCATCAACGTGCATGTTAGACCCAATTCCAACTAAGCTGTTGAAGGAAGTGTTTCCATTAATTAGCACTTCTTTATTAAATATTATGAATATGTCTTTATTATCAGGCTATGTTCCACAATCATTCAAAGTAGCAGTGATAAAACCGCTTCTTAAAAAGCACAACCTCGATCCAGAGGTTTTAGCCAATTATAGACCTATTTCTAATCTTCCGTTCCTCTCAAAAATTCTTGAGAAAGCAGTCGCAAAACAGCTGTGTGATTACTTAAAAAACAATGATTTATTTGAAGATTTTCAGTCTGGCTTTAGAACACATCATAGCACAGAGACAGCTCTGGTTAAAGTCACAAATGACATTCTAATAGCCTCAGACAAGGGACTTGTCTCTATTCTTGTCTTGCTCGATCTCAGTGCTGCATTTGATACTATCGACCATGATATCCTATTAAGACTAGAGCACTTAGTTGGCATACAGGGAACTGCTTTAGGCTGGTTTAGGTCCTATCTATCTGAACGCTCTCAGTTTGTACGTGTTAACGATGAATCTTCCACGCAAACCAAAGTTAGCCATGGAGTGCCACAGGGTTCAGTGCTCGGACCTATTTTGTTCACATTATATATGCTTCCGTTAGGCAATATTATAAGGAATCATTCTGTAAACTTTCATTGTTATGCGGATGATACTCAACTATATTTATCAATCAAGCCTGATGAAATTAATCATCTAAATAAAATTCAAGACTGCCTTAAGGACTTAAAAACGTGGATGACCATACATTTTTTGATGGCCCGAAGAATCTACGAAACAAATTATCTAAAGATATACTAACTATGGATGGCATTAATTTGGCCTCCAGTGAGACTGTAAGGAATCTTGGTGTTATATTTGATCAGGATTTATCCTTTAACTCCCACATAAAATCAATTTCAAGGACCGCCTACTTCCATCTATGTAACATTGCAAAAATCAGGCATATCTTGCCTCAAAACGATGCAGAGAAACTAGTCCATTCATTTGTTACTTCAAGGCTGGATTATTGTAACTCTTTATTATCAGGGTGTACCAAGAAGTTAGTCAAGTCGCTTCAGCTGATTCAAAATGCTGCAGCTCGTGTACTAACCAGAGTTAGGAAAAGGGACCACATTACTCCTGTTCTGGCTGCCTTACACTGGCTCCCTATAGAACACAGGATAGAATTTAAAATTCTTCTTCTCGCCTAGAAAGCCCTTAATGGGCAGGCGCCATCTTACCTTAAAGAACTCATTATACCCTACTGTCCTATTAGGGCATTGCGTTCCAAGAATGCAGGGTTGTTGGTTGTTCCTAGAGTCTCTAAAAGTACAATGGGAGCCAGAGCCTTTTCTTATCAAGCTCCAAATTTGTGGAATCAGCTTCCAGTTTGTGTTCGGGCGGCAGACACCCTATCCGTTTTTAAGAGTGCGCTTAAGACCTTCCTTTTTGATAAAGCTTATAGTTAGGGCTGATTAGATTCAGCCCCTAGTTTTGCTGATATAGGCTTAGTTTTATTTCCGTTAATCTGGTATAACACATTAATAGGTTCTTAAATATTAAGATCCCCTGAGACACAGTGTTGTGAAAAAAAAAGTAAAGTACCTGCCGGGACCTTGGGGCTTAACAGGTTAAAAAAACGCAATATATATCGCAGGGGAACAATGAGACACAACGGTGTAAAGGCGTAGAGCAGCTTTCTTGGCCATGGCATCCACCCCCAAGGGCAGGTCGTCGCTCAGAGCCATGGAGAACCACAGGGCACAGTGGCTGTTGCGCCGGCTGGCGAACAGGTCCACCTCTGCTCTCCCGAACTGGGCCCAGACCTGCTTCACCACCTCCGGGGGAAGCACCCACTCGCCTGCAGAGGGCCGCCCCTCGACATGAGGTCGGCCCCCCTGTTCTCCAGTCCCGGGATGTGGAGGGCTCCCAGAGATAACGCCACCTCTGAAGCCCACAACCACAGTTCCTCCACTGTGGTCAACAAGGCGTCGGAGCGGACTCCGCCCTGCCTGTTGATGTAGGCCTATGCCACTGTGTGGTGCTGTTGTCGCTTTTGCACCAGGGCCTGAATCTCTGCCGAGAGGAAACCCATCTCCTCCTGGGATTATAGATTTAACTCTCGCATGCCTTTGAATGACCAGATGTCTCCCCTGAATTAGGAGCTTGAAATGCTGGAGGACCAACCAGGCCCGGTTCTACGGGGGTGCATAAGGGTGCATTGCACCCTCAGTTGAGTCGTTATGCACCCTCATTTGAAAAATGAAAAGTGAAAAAAATAAGTGATTATTATGTACAATAATAATAATAATAATAGTAATAATAATAAGAAGAAGAATATAGTTGAAATAAAATAAATTGTAATTGTGGTTAAATAACATTGTCTGCTGCATTTATTTGGTCAATTTAAATGGTAAGTAACGTTATTATGTCAGGTGCACGTGACCTGTGCCGCTGCGCGTTCGTCATAGTCTGCAATGTGCTTACACAGCAGTCAGTGATGGAACTCAGAAAATGGTTAAAACAACCAGCCCTTATCGCCAGCAGTAACACTGCATCTACTGCAGATAATAACAGTTCAGATCATGGGGACATTAAGTTACCCGCGGCCACTGTCGTGGACACTAATGCCCGACTCGCCGGCTTTGCCCGCCTCGCCCACGGAGGCGGAGCAGCCGCAGCCGTCTTCGTTGCCCCAAACACCGCCACCCCTCAGCGGCCCGCAAGTGCCAGAGGACCTCGGCAAAACAGAGCCTGCACAGGTATATTTAAAAAAGTACCCAACTTGCCTGTACAGTGGGGTAAGGCGCTCATTTTGCAGCTCATGGTTTCAAAGAGATTGGCTAGAATATTCATGTAAAAAAGATGCCATCTTCT